GACGTCGTGGGATTTTCTTCATTGGATATCACTTCGAGTTGATGGCAAATCATATCGACTTCGATCCGATTTCTTGTTTGTTGAATGAGCTCGGATGTGGCAATTAGTTCCTCAACTAATCAATATTAGCTAATTTCTCACGTGGTGACAATAATGACGTATGCTGGTAGAGATGCCTTGATGTTGAATAATCGCATTGGCACCATGTAGAGCCTGGATCAGAGAAGAAACAAACATCCGATTTCACCTTATGTAGATTATGAGCCAGGCATGTCTACGCACCTGTGAAGTAATTTTGTCTGTTTCGATCCGAAATGTTCTCCTGTAGCGAGCTTATGTTCCAAGGTGAGATATCACTTCCCACACTGGGCTGATCAGGTTCTGGCCAAGTCAGCATCCTTTCAGAGATCACCCTTTGGCATATCAATCCTAGACGAGTGCACGCTGAGCAAGTAGGAAGACCTGCGTCACAGCGCACCTTTCTTCTCCGACATGTCAAGCATTTTGCCATTGCGTTACAGTAACCGAACAGAATTAGGTCCCAAAATGACATAACATCATCGAATGTTCCGAAGACAACAGGAAGACTTTCCACCTATTGCTAGCTTAAACTAATATAGTTTGGCGGGAGATTGTGGGTGACTCACACGGAAATGACTCATCGGATGCTAAATCCGAAATCAGTTGTTGAAAGAATAAGGTACCTTCATTCAATTCATTCAAACAAACTAGTTCAAGGAACTGATAATTCATGAACATGGGATAAGAGGATTAGTCTTAGGGTGGTTGCCTTCGAACAGCAATCCGGACTGTTTTGGTGGTTAGCTGATTGGTAGGTACGTGACGAAAGCTCCGGGTATCTTCAAGTTCTTCAAGCTGCCACTGGCCGTTCAATGTTTTGGATCTGGAACTACTTCTACCAAGACAGAGTTAAGATTTCAAGGCTAACGAAACCTGAGGAGCACAAGCCTCCTCTGCTGAGGCGGTTCCTTTGGCCGAGGCTGCTTATCGTATAAAAGGTGTATTTAGGTAGTTTAAAGGTATGCCACACAGCAAAATATTCCATCAAGTGCTAGAGGGCGTCAATACTTACACAAGTACTTTTATAAAGGGTAAAAACAAATCGCGTAATAATCCAAATCTTTTCCCTCCTAATCGTCTGGATAGCTTCGCAGTGAAAATGACTGGAGAAAGACTAGAGACGGTTGTATTGCTAGCAATCAGCTAGTGATATGGTAACAAGTTCACAACCCTGTCCGGGGAAGCTAACTTGTAAGTATGTAATCGTACGAAGGGTCTTGGACGCTTTTACAGCCCTGTAATTATACTACAGACATCTACAAATCATCGCTCGCTGGCTACGAGCCTTCGCTTAACCAAGGTTTCACAAGTACCCGTAGAGCTGCTTTACATCACCTCTACCTAGCCTTATGAAAATTATCGCCCTATGAAACTGCCCTGCCGAGGGCTGGGCTCTGCTCATTAAGCTCGGGAAAACCTTGTCCCAAGTCATTCGTATCACGTTTGAAAGCGGCTCGGTAGAAGCTGCCGCAGATTAGAGGTCACTTACCATTCAAGGTTTGATCAAAGCTCTTTGAATACCTTATTTTCTACTCGAGTGGCTGTGTGTACGATGATCCGTGCTTAGAATGGGCTTGATAATCACATGGACCTCAGCGGTCAGTGACATTGTAGATCATCAAACCAAGCGCTCGTTGATTCAGGGCAATCTGCTGTTGCGCATGCAAATTGGCCAATTCTAACACGTAAGAGTCGTGGTAATGGAGATGACAATCAATTCCTCTCGGAAGCAGCTGTAAACGGAGAAGATGATATGCCGCTAGTCTAGGTGTGAGGAAGATGAAAAATAGTCGTGAGATGGGGTTTCGGGGATGGAGGTGCATGAAAATGTGCTCCCGAGACTTGCGAACAATGAGGGCCCTATCGCTGGTTCGTTCCATTCTTCACAGATTGGCAAAAACCATTGATTGTTAGGAAACTCTCTCCGGAGCTAGTCTGCGGAGGGTCCCAATGCGTCAACGCCAACGTCGAATGGAGGCACGATTGCTGTTGAAAGAGAGTAAGTGCACCATGCAACAGCTTAGAGATTTCGCCTCCAACGGGCAGAAACCTTGGCGTCGCCGTCGTGATGAGGGTCCACGTCTGATGTTTTAGGTGCTTATCTGCACCAGATAATACCTCAGAAATAATTTAGTCTTGGTGTTGGACTCAATGCGGGTCTGTAGGGCTGTGACAGGTGTCGTTCATGACTCGCGTTCACGATCGTTTCAATCTTCTTCGCGGGCATGGCATGGAAGGGGCCGCCAAGGATAGCTAGCAAAGCTTTGCTGCGCTGCGCTACCTACGGTGGAGTCTTAGGTGGTGGACCTAGCTAGATCATTGTCTTTCTTCCTCATGATGTTGAAACTCCAGCTGCGAGGAAAGAAGGGCTTTCAAGTAACTGGACGTCATGCCAGTAGAGCTGGGTCGTACGAGAAAAAGTGGCTAGCTGATGGCCTGTTATGACTGGCCAACGCGAAGGTCACTGGTCGTGTCGATTGCTACCGACGCCCTACGCCTGGTCAGGGTCTGAGCTATCAACGTTCCGGGAACCGAGCTGCAGCGAGTCCAGTGATCAGGAGGATCGCAGGCCGGGCAGGTTTTTCACTGCGCTTGGAGCACCAGGTAATAATGACAATCCACTGGGCTCGTGAGCAGTCAAGATTGAATGTTGGGAGGCACGGGTAGAGGGAGAATTTCTACTAAAGACAAGGGGAGTCGAAGACTTGCGCAGATCATGCAATTTCTTGGGGATCGCTGGCCCGCTGCATGCTATCCGTCCCGCAACACGGACCTGATTGTCGATGGGAACTCAGAAGCGACATGGACCAAGGCCTGCAGATAGCCTAGGAAATCAGATGGCCGAGGCATTTCCACGTCTCTTGGAACGTCTCTTCGTATATCTTCGTAGGTTTTTCGTACGCGGCTATGTTTTCGATCGAACGGACGAAGGCTCGTACAATGCAATGCCGCCGCATCACCAGCATACTCCTCATCATCGCCTTCGACATGAAACGCTTTGGCCTCCTGAGAAGAAGCTTCAAGGATCAGGGGCCTACTACGCGTGGAATTGCAGGGAGAGCTTCAGAAAGAGGGGCTAGGCGAAGAGTGCCTGTCCTTGCTCGATGTGGAACCAAAATTGGTTGCTCTCCAACACCTTAGCCGACTCGCCATAGACGTCTCAAATTCTGTTCAGCCTGATTTCTCGACTTTTTTTTTTTTAGGCAGCGCAACCGCTTATCAACCAGTACCATTTCTTACCGTTTGTGCTAACAAGCGATACAAAAGGACTTGTCTGGTCCGTAGTGAAATGCCACCCTAGCTGCCCATATCGAATCGCGTTCGGGGTTCGTTCTCCCGCAAGATTGAGGTGTCCATTCGCACTAGTTTAGAGCAAAATCCGCTTCTTTTCATACACTATAACGGTGGATATCCTGAGTGACGTTGCGATCGTCTGCTTGTTGGCCACGAACGAGACCGAGCATCTCTTGTTGTAGCCAGGGGAAACCCAAGTCAATGGGCACTGGAAACTGGGAACCCGAAGTAACCGAAATGCCTGTCCTTGGAAACCCCTGATGCCGCTGAACCCTAAGACGCAACATATCAGATCACTCGAAGCCAAGCACCTAGTCCAAGCCAAGGCACCCTTCGCTCCAGCCGCAGCGGAAGGTATCCATGGATTTGGATAGCCGCAAGGGTGGTGTTTGAAAATGCAAGTTGGAGTGATGGTGGCTTGAATAATTACATGATTTGCCGTTCTTTCGCCTAATATCCAAAACCGCCCCGATTCTCTCGAGCCTATCTCCTCTGGGCATCATCAGGCCGTCAAAAAGTTAGTCCACTATCAATGGGGTCTAGTTTTATGGTTTGCCAAAGCCGAGAAAGTTCGACCACCGGCCACCATATCAAACAACTTGTGCCTCGGGTCGCAGCCAAAGGCGAGATGAACGCTCTCATCACACCACCTTCACCCGCTCTGCCGTCTGGTGCCGCGGCGAAGATTGCCGTTGCCCGGTCCCCTCCTTTGTCCCGCTCCAGCAAGCCGCACTGCCTCGGCGTCCGTCTCGAACACGAAATGGAACAAGCGAAGAAGGGGGTCAAAAATCAGCCACCACCTGTGTAGAACTGCGAACCAACCGTGTTACCGTGCAGCCTAGCTCGATCCCCCAGCGCCATTGGGCCGTTTCCTGTCAGACCATGCCCGGCCTTAGTTAAACCTCCGTGAATTGCTGCAGGTCCCCCGGACGCTAGTCTCGGTGCAGAACACCCCATTCCGGAAAGGCTTCAGCAACGGCCCTCTTCCTTCTCTTCCGAAAGCTCGCAAAAGCTCTGCCTGCACGCTAGACCTGCAGCCTCTCGCAGCCCGTTCATTACGGCTGGAGCGTGCAGCATCAAGGCGGGATCGAATCGCACGCACCCTGACAAGCCTGACAAGCCTGGCATAGACATTAGTCTCCACGCAATACGCACGCGAGGGAGACCAGTCGAAGCTCGCGTAAATTGTGAGGAGATTGAGATGCCGTCATTTATCCAGCGATCCGTCACGTTTCCCACCCTGGATGCGGCAGCGCGGCTTGTTGTCTGTGCTTGTGCATCATGGCCCCGTCCATCCCTCCAGCGTCGCATGCCGCCTGGGGCCCCTTCAAAGGTCCCACTTCTCATCTCATCTGGTCTTCATGCCTCTCGATGGGGTTTGAAAAGAGAGTTCGCCCTCCTCCTTCAGATCTATCCCACTCGGCTTCGCTCTTAATTCTTAGCCCTATTGTACATGTATGAAGGAAATACTGCCCCCATCCCCTAGTTTGTGCCGCGACCAGACCACCATCGAGGATCCACATATAACGAAGGAAGACAAGATTTTATATATCAGCCAAGACAGACAACGCCCTTCGATGGGAACAAGGATCTTGTAGGGGCATGTCCCGCTTGAGCATAGCAGTATGGCCTCCGACCAAGTGAGGCAGAATAGCCTCATCATAACAGCATGTTTTTTCACAGCAATTTCAAGTAAGTCGATTGGTTAGAGACTCGGACAACGTGAGAACTGACATAAACGGTGTAGCCATGGTTGTCATTGCCCGGACATTTGTTCGAGCAGTTCTTATCCGAAAGCCTGGCCTCGATGATTATTCAATGATCATTGGAATGGTTTTCACTCTCGCCTACCTCGCAGAGATCTTTGTCGGAAAGGCCAATCATATCGGCTTCCCCTCCAAGGATTTGAGCCTCGACAACATGACAAATCTCCTGAAGAATACACTGGCAATTCAAGTTACGTATTATGTTTGCATATCAGCAATCAAGATATCTATCTTATGCATGTATCTCAGGTTTGGTAGGTCTTTCTATACCATGATGGTGAACGCGTCATATGCTGACTCTACTGGTAGCTGGCACCAGGTCGCTCAACATTCTGTGCATATGCACCATTGTATTCCATCTTTTATTCTTCGTCATCTGTATTGGAGTCACTCTATCTCAGTGTCAACCGCTCTACGAAATGTGGGACTTGACCGGGACTGTGAATGGAGTGTGTATCAACACCACCGCCTTTTTCTATTGTGAGTTATCAGCCATCGACAATGATCCACAGATAATCTATGCCTGTCAGACTAGTTGCTAACGGTGGCCAGTTACATCCGGTTTTAACATCGTAACCGACATTTGGATCCTCGTCCTCCCTATCAAAACACTTATGGGCATTCTTCGGCCGCGGCGAGAAAAGATCGCGCTGGGCATCATTTTCGGCGTTGGCGTGTTTGCAACAATAACATCCATCGTCCGGTTACACACGATTTACACATATACCCTCGCCAAGGATCTCTTCCAGGAGAGCATCCTCATCAACATCTGGTCCATGTTGGAGATCAACATCGGAATAATATGCGCCAGTGTTCCTGCACTGAAACCCCTGTTTACTCCTCGTGCTCTACGGGAAGCCGCAAATCGGAACAAGCCAGGCGGTTATCAGTATCATAGTCATGAGAGATCAGGGTTCCATTCGAACAATTCAAAATCGAGAGACAGGACAGAAAACCCCTACAACTTGGATCGAGTGGGTGGGCAGGTAAACTCAAAGACGGTACTACAAAGCACATCACGTATGTCAGGCAGTGAGGATAGTATCCTTGGGGTATGAGTCACGACTATCAGAACGACTGGGATTTCAAGGCGTTTAAGCGATATATACTTCAGAGAAGCAATGCTTCCGTCACGTTGGGGGCGCTGGAGTGAAGATATTATGACAATATGCAATCAGCGTTCAATCACTCACAGAGTAGATTAGTACGTGCTATTGACGTATTTGTTTGGGAATGAATGTTGAACAGGTGAAAAGGTTTTGAACATTTAGCAATTAATCATTGATCTTTTGATGCGGAAAGAAATAAGGGTAGGCATGTCACCCCATTGAAACGCCAGCCAGTGCATAATCGATATGGCGAAACACCTAGTTCAACCGACTGTATCGAAAGGTAGGCTCAATGCCGCCTCAACTCCTGCCTTGTGAGAATATATGTACGTGAACTTCGACTTCAAAGGAAACTAACCGCAAAACCTCTAATTAAAGCAATGACGGTGGATTACACCCGATTCCTTCGACCTTTTGGGACAAGTACCTTATCTAGGGTAAGGTACCTCGGATATGGACATGGAAGCAGGTGCGTAAGTGTGCATAAAGCAGGACTGCCTCGCAAGCTCATCGACCTTTATCGTTCATCGACGAGCGTCAAGCAATTAAGACGTAGTAAAAGGCCGTCACTCATCACAATATAGGGTCCTGGGTAGGATAATGGAGCGACTTGGACATGCAAAGAGCTGAGTTGAACGTGAGTCGCATGATATCGATCAGACAGGAATGTGAGACAATGAAAACTACCCTGCGACAAGAATCTTTCTAGCTACGGAATTGATAATTCCGAAATACAACAAGAATCGATAAGTTATGCGTCTTGCATTTATAAAAAGAACAAAGGGACGGGATAGAAGGATATCAACCAACAATTGGAAGACACACACAACCCGTGATTGATCAACATGATGACGAGCCAAGAGCTATAAAACATTTTCGATAATATCTGCATGATACTAAGAAGTGTATATCACGGGTTTTCAAAGCAATTACTTGAGCTGTTGGGAATTTTCAGTATTGCAGCAAGATCGGGTTCAAGACGGCAAGTTAAAATAGCAATGGGTCTTATTACAACATGACCCAACACCCATTCACTACTTAGTTACGCCTACCTCGACAGGCCGCAGATCAAGACCACGCGGACAGATCAGACCGCGCAATTAGAACAAGCCCACCGTTACATGTAACCCTACTATCAGTCTTACCTGCTTCGGAAGGCTGGACCCCGCGTCTGTGGTGCCTTGTGATGACTGTGGCTTGGACCCTGGTTGAGTCTGGCGTCATCATTGGTGGCTTTTGTTATGCTTATGTGCCATCGACAAACAAATTCCATCCACAGACTGATCAACCCTTCTAACATCCCACAGCCCGAAACTGACCATGAAGAAGCTGCGGAATGGAAATACGCAACAAAATCACAATTTTGGTTGCGAAGGGGCAAGAATTATGGATTGCCCATCGCGACCTCTAGTACCTATTTCCCATGTGAAATACGAATTTTGGTGAGCGTCGGATGCGGTCAGTTGAGATACCTCAAGCGACCTTGATTATTATCCCTGGAAGGGCAAAATTATGCCGTACGGTATGCTATGTGTAGGTATGCTGTGTCTACTACATATGTATGCGGAAGGCGAACCTACTTTCAGGGTTGCCTTCGATCATTGTGCCTTTTTCCACAAATGGGCAACTGTTCTTTAATGATGTACACGTGGAAACCGCACACACACACAGACCAAATAGTACAAGCGATAGCCTTCGTAGGATCTCGACTTAGCGCAGTATCTCCGGGTTTGTGGGGTAGACTCGGATGCGTCCCGGTGATAACCCCCTGCGTCGAGCTAAGCTTACCTTATGCCATATAAGGGTGTTCGGAAAAGGGAAGACAAGTTATTTGCAGGTAGACCCAGTCCAGAATACTTACTGATTCATCTGAAAACACGTTGATGGTCCGTTACTGGTGGAATCCTGTGCGGGAAAACCTTTTCCTTCGTTCATCAGATATGAGGCTGAAGATAGCGAATGGGCTAGGATATGCTTAGTTGGGTGGTATGTTCGATACTTGGGAGCAACAAGAGAAATTTTGACTATCGCATCGTTGCTTTATCAAAACTTTAATAGCTATAAGTATCGCGTTATATCCCTAAGTGAACCAAGATCACATCATCAAGCTTCACCCCTGATCTCCAGAGCCAAGACTTCCTAACGCCCTGCTCCCGGACAACGCCAAGATGCACCAATACTACCTTCTTGCTCTCCTTCCTGCGGCCTTGGGCTGCCTAAACACCGACACAAACGCCTGTGCCAGCTACATCAAGTCCAACGCCGCCGCGTCGACCTTCTGCGCCACCTTCACCAAGAGCACCGTAACTGCCACCACCGCTCTACCCGCCTGGGCTACCAACTGCTCGCAGAAGCCGAGTCTAATCTCCGCTGAGTGTACTTGCGCCTACAGTGGTGCTGGTGGTAGCTCGCCGACTACAACGTTGAAGACTACCACTACCGCAGGAGGCTCTACGCCCACCGGAGTTACTACCACTCTACCCAAGTCCACTGGAGCTACTTCTACGAGCAAGGCCATCACCGTCTCTGCTGGACAGTCTTATGATGGCGGCATGAAGAAGTTTGACCGCAGCCGTACGTTGTCAAGACGAGTAAAAGAATGATGGATGATCGAATACTGATTCCAGAGCAGCTAGGGTTTGCGCTGAGCAAGATGAGACAGGTGAAGCTGATGCCATGTTCGTGCTTGAGGCCGGTGCCACCCTCTCGAACGTCATTATTGGGCCCGATCAGGCAGAGGGTGTTCACTGCAAGGGAACATGGTTTGTCGTTCCTCAATTCTGAAGGGAGTTTCGATGCTGATTGATTATAGCACACTGTATGGAAACCACCAGAAGAGAAGACATGGAGAACAGCAGACTGACAGTGTATAGTAACAACGTTTGGTGGGAAGACGTTTGCGAGGATGCTCTGTGAGTCTTTCTATATCAGTTGTGCAATCATTTCTTGTTGATAGCTTTCACTCCAGGACCTTGAAGCAGACCAGCGGAACCTCTTACGTCAACGGCGGTGGTGCCTTCAAGGCCGCGGACAAGATCGTCCAATTCAACGGCTTTGGAACTGTCTCGATTAAGAACTTCTACGCTAATGAGTGAGTCGAACTCATCGTCTTTTGCCGTGATGCAACCTGCTAAAACATCAACAGCTACGGAAAGGTCGTCCGAAGCTGTGGCAACTGCAGCGGTAATGGAGGTGCACGCAACATTGTCATGAACAACGTGATTGCAAAGGACGGTGGAGTCCTCTGCGGCATCAACACCAACTACGGCGATACCTGCAAGGTCACTAGCTGTTGCCAAGATGACAACAAGATTTGTGATAGGGTATGATGACTCTAAGCCTGAAATCTCTTTGCATGTACAAGGAAGATTTACTTACTTTGGACTGTAGTACACCGGAAATAACAGTGGTGCCGAGCCTACGAAGATTGGCAGTGGCCCTGACGGCACTTACTGCGTCGCCACAAGCTTCACCACGGCCTGTTGATCCTTTATAATGATGACGACCAAACGATCTGTATAAGTTGGCTTTGTCCAAGCTGTTTATTGCTGGTTCGAAGCTGCAGACTCGTAAGCAAGGGGTGGGAGGTTTGGAAGCTTCTGGCTCGTGGAACGTAGTAGCTTGCACTGTACATAACTGAATTGTACACTCAAATCCATTTATCTGTATCTTACTTGTCGCTAAAGCAAACAATCAAACGACTGGCGATGCGGCGAATATCTCGTTCGCCCTAGTGCACTTCAATGACTCATTCCATCGCATGCCAACGATAAGTTATTCGGCGATTCGATTCAGGCCGAACACAAAGTTTTCAAGATCTTCTTACGCATCAGTACTCAGATTTGCGCCAGCCGGCAGATCCAAATTGTGTTTCTCGAGGTTTGATGGAGTCGAACAGAATCTCAATGCACCTGACATGCTTACTTAGTACTTTGTTAACGTTGGGTGACATGTTTCCCAGAAACATCTATGGTACCTGTGCTCTAGGTGGCAGACTTCACTCCTGTCGAAAGCTAGTAAACGGTAGAGTAATATGCACTCAATGTTGAGGCTACATAGCGTATATAGCCTCTTGGCAAGACCACCTTGCGACTCTGCTCCATCCCAATCTGCCCCAGTCACCTCGGCCAACTTCTGCGTCTGGGCTTCTTATTTCAAGTCTGGGTTCGTCTCTTTGAATCCAGTCCAAATCGGTGGCTTCTTTATCAAAATGACGAAATGCGGAGCCTGCAAACCAAAGACCTGTGTTCCCGATCATCGCCTACGGGCTCTGCGGGCTACGAGCACTCCCGGGCGTTTAGGAAAAGGTAAGAAGCTCTGCGGCAACTTTACCAAGACGGGCATCGCGAACGTGTCCGCGGTTCCGAGCTATGCTAGGGGGACTTGTGCAACAAAAATCATTTCAAAAGTTGGCTCAGCATATCCTTGCTTGCCCACGACGACGGAAACCGAGCTTAGATAGCGTAGCTCAAAGTCCTCGTCCTATATTACAGGCAAAAGAACTCGGATGATCCAGTTGAATTGAGGAGAACTGAGTGCGGTGTTCCCAGAGCTGGCGATATCTCATTTTTGTTCCGCAGACTCCATATATAGTTCAAGATAGGACATCGCGTCCAATCTAAATATCGCCTCACCGAGATAAGTTGGCCTTGAGCAAGGGTCATCCATGCTCAACTCGACGGCTCTCAGTGAGAATCAAGGTTCAAACAAGCTGATCCAGGGAGCTTTGTCCTGCTTTTGTTCTACTTAAACACTAAACGATGGCGAGAAGTATTACTCATCTCGACAGCAGGTCATTTTTGTCGACTGTTATCGGGGTCTTCGAATTATTGTAGCGCAAAGTTATCATCTCTTCGGAGAGGACCGGACACTAGAAGCAAGCTTTCAGTCAGGATCCACCGGTTGCAGATCCACAATGACAAAGCCGGTCCCGGCGCCCGTCCAAAAAA